TTTATGCAGCGTTACAAATTTCACTAAACAGGCACCAATTTGCTGTTTCACCAACTCGGTGGTTTAAATGTATTCTTTATTTTAATATATTTTGCCACAGCGCCTACATTGTACCGGGCTTTTTTGTAGACATGTTGCACGGACGATGCGATGCCTTTCATTTATATAAATGCATTTCTGAAACATTTTATGCAAACGTTATACGGGTAAATGGAAATGCAAGCATCCATTGTTTTCATCATAACAACAGCAACTCATAACGGCATCAGAGGGGATGGTGGTGGGAAGGGACATTTCATTGTCCCATATTCTCAGTCTCTGATGCGCTTCGTAAACATTTTGAACTGACAAAAGAGCTTACTGACAAAAAAACACAGTTTTATTCAGAGCGCTTTTTTTTAATCAACAGAAGCTTAGCATTTCAACAGATGGCAACAGCATCCAGGGAATTTGTAGGGCAAGGAATTTGGTTTTCTTGGCGGCATGAAGGTTAAGCACCGCATATAAATAAAATAAAACTCTTAAACGGTCAGCGAACACTTTGCCAGAAATAAAAAAAATAAGTGCGTCCAAACGGAATTGTTTTCCGAATTACTCTCGGAAGATAAGAGGCTTATCTTTTCAATTCCAACTAAATGGTGTTGAGGATCGTAATTTTGATGTCCAATATGTCTGTTGCACTGTGTGCGATCCTAAATTGTTATTGAAATTAGAATAAGGTTTGCGATATATGACATCATCGCTATGATGTTGTTGCAATGAGCTAGAATTGTGCTGAGCACCTTCTGAATGTGTTGAGAGCGAATATTCACTCTGATTCACTGATATGTGAATTGTGCTTAAAGTACATTAACAGTGAGCGTTTTGATATTCTGGAACGTCTGTTTTTTTGTGTTTTAGCTTCAAACATTACCAAATGTCACTTTTAAAATTCAAGAAACCCCTGGCCAACGTGTCGTTATCGAACACGCGGTATACCTCATGAGGTCTGTATTGCCGGAACACAAAGGGTGATGTTTAAAAAATAAAACAACAAAAATCACGACGTTTCGGCCTTAAAGGTCGCGGTCTGAGCGTGGCTGTGTTTCACTCCAGCGCTGTCCTCGAGACAGCCTGATACCTTCACCTGATGAAGGCTGCTTGTGTTGTGGCCGAAACGTCGTGATTTTTGTTGTTTTATTTTTTTTACCTACGTGACTTTACCGAATAGAACCGAAGAGTATGGATCCTTGCCGTAACGAAAGCTTTAAATCTAGAACCTACTCGGTTTGACGGTGCCATGATTGCCATCTTCGTGTCGAAAAATCGTGACGTCAGAGCGCTGCTTTCGTTGGAAGGTTTTGAATGAATTGACTGTGAGAACGATGTATTTGCCGTGTATGTTGTGTGTGTGTGTGCTAATAGAACACATTGATCAACACGCGCAGCTAACACAGGGCACACGTTCACCGATTGCCGCACGCATCGAATCATCCACTCGCCGAGGACGTCAGCCAGCAGACTGACGCCGAGATGACGAATCACTAAAGATCCAAGTGACAGTGTGGTGGAGGACGAGCGTTGGGCAGGGGAATTCAGTATCAGGGCGGTCAGGCATGGGGGAAGAGTAATGGAGACGGGGGTTCCATGTTGAGGCGATATTCAAAACTAGAGTACACACACACACACAAGAAATGTAGTGCGATGCAACATCCTTGAGTACAATAACAAGCGTGGAAATCATGTACATTTTAGTTAAACAAAGAGGTGGTGATAATTTTGGACCCAGGAACAAAACCCAATTTTGTTCATAAGGTCTATTATTTGTCGAATGCGGCTCTGCATACATTGATCAGAGTCTTTCATGAAAATTAAAAAATAACCAAGAGACAAGCAGACACGATGGTTTGTGTTTTTTTCTTTCCAATATTGTATTTATATTAAAACCAATGAAGGCCCATTGCCTTGAATGTGTGACTTATTTTCAATCAATGTTTGTTTTATTAATAATTTTACTCAATATCTAATAACCATCCTTTTCTACCGAATGGGGTAAATTTGATGTACCTGAACAGAATAAATCAGGTATAGCATGGCAATATTTTTGTATGACAATATATCTCCACTGCAACATTTTCACGGGATGAATTCCATTCAAAGATGGTAATTTGGCTTTTACACCGATTTCACTGACTTTTTTTGTCACGTTCAAATATCAACTCTGGCTGTCGCCTGATGACGCCGGTTGTAATTACCGGCGAAACGTCACGGTACTCGAATTGTAAATGTAGCCCAAATGTCGGCAGCATGGGCGGGGCAGCTAATGTTAATGTAGGTGATGAACGGCGACCGCGAAGGTGGTGGGTTTTCCACCAATTAAAGGGCTGCCAGGTAAAAATTAGCATGTACACCAAGATCGGTGAGCGGCCTCCAGGACGAGCGCGCTGAGGTGGCTATGTTAATGTGAGAGATTAGCGTGTTAATGTGAGATCGCAGAGCTTCCGCCACGTCTAGGTCAGCGCGCAGAGGTGGCTGTGTTGGTGTGAGAAATTTAACCTGTTAATGTAAATTCGGAGAGCCGAAAATAACATCGGAAGGTGGCAGGATGGGAACATCACAGCCAGTTATGACTTAAACTGGTTGATAACGTCCTTCCAATGATTGATAAGTTTGTACCCATCTTCTCTAGAGCTCGATGTATTTCCTACCATCATCACCGAGCCAGTGAACTGGAACATGTACACTAAGCTCTCAAGATGAATGGATATACAGACTACACAATCCGTAAAGCTATCACCCCAACCGTTGGGAAAGAACCATCTGAGGAGCCAATCAAAACCATCACCTTGCCATACATAGCAGGGGTTACCAAAAAGATTTCCAAAATCTTGAGCAAACACAAGATCCAGGTTTTATTTAACACAGTACATAAAATTCGTGATCTGGTCCCATCTGTGAAGGACGTGATCCCTGACATGCAATACCCCGACGTCTACAAACTAAGCTGTGTCTGCGGCTGTAGTGACATTGGGGAAACTAAGCGACATGTCTCGGACAGTGTTCGTGAACATAAGGCAGATCTGAAACACGGTAAGAGCAATACCTCGGCCATGGCTGATCATTGTTTTAATGCGGTCCACTCACGAAATTGATTTCTCTAAGACGAAGGTACTTTGCAAACCCACTGGCTATCAACAAAGATTCGTTCATGAAGCCATACACATATATACAGACACAGACACAATTTTAGCCGCCCCCACTCCGCTAATTGTTGAGCGCATCGCTCCTCTGCCCTCCATTGTTGTTGGAGGACGACTGCCTCCAACTGCCCATTAGCGTCATTCACGATCCTCCTCCATAGAGGCTGAGCTTGACACCGCTGTTATCAGTCGTCGGCAAGTCCACTCAGCTCTACAACCTCTTGTACTGCATCAGTCCATCTCTTTCCCAGCCCGTGTCGTGCCCATTTAGCCCCCTCTATCCAGTCAAACAAAAGCTGCTTGGGAATGCGGTGGCTGGGCATGCAGGCCACATGACCCAGCCTTGTCCGCCAGAGGAGCTCACTGATGGGAATGTGTCCAGATATTTAAATAATGTGAGCTCCTCACACAAACCAGGCTGGTTAAATTCAAAATGGATCGTAGGCAAGCCAACCTGAATGTTTCTAATCCACATTTCACAATTATAGATAAGGGTGAGCATGACTGTGGCTGAGAAGACCCAAAGCTTCGTGTGGAGCTACAGACCAGGTAACTTCTACAGCATTACACAACCGGTGAAAAGATCATCTTGCCCGACTGATTAGGAGTGAGACCTCTGCTTTCAAACCGGAGCTAATCATAAGCACACTGCCCAAGAATGGAAACCTCTCCACCCTCTCCACAACTGAACCGTCACCAATGGGGAGTTGAGGGGTGGAGTGTTTGATGGCACAAAATACCCAGTTTTGGTGGGGCTGATGGTAAGATCACAACACAAGCGGCCTTCATCAACTGATGAAGGCCGCTTGTGTTGTGGCCGAAACGTCGTGATTTTTTGTTGTTTTATCTTTTTTACCTACGTGACTTTACCGAATAGAACCAAAGAGTATGGATCCTTGCAGTCACGAAAGCTTCAAATCTAGAACTGATGGTAAGACCCCGCCGCTTAGTGGCACGATCCAAGTTCAGCAGCAGCTCCTCCAACTCCTCCTCTGAATGAGCAGCAATCACCAGATAATCAACATACATAATATCGTTGACCAATAGGGAGCCATCCTCTGACCGCACCCGTGCATCGATCAGCCTCATTGTATCTGTACCAGATGGAAATTCCTCCATTACAGCCATGAAAAGTTTCTCAAACTATGTGGTCGTAAATTATGTTAAATAATGTGGGATCCAGAGGACATGCCTGTTGCACCCCAAGGTGAACAGGGCTTTGACTTACGACCACACGGCACACACAGACAAATTGAAACAGAGACAAAGTTGAGACAAAGGAACAGGGACAGAGACACCGAGTCAGAATGAACCAGACTAATACTGAGACAGTATAAGACATAGAGACATGGAGACATGGTGAGGCAGAGAAAACAGAGACAGAGACATATTTAGACAGAGAGACATTGAGAAATAGTGTAACAAGCTATAACAGAGATACAAATGTAACAGAGAAGTGACCAGCGAGCATCGACTTACCTGTGTGACAGGTAAGTCTGCCAGGAAGTGTCTAACTGTGTTGTTGGCCTGACTGGATGTGCTTCACATAATGTTTTTTTCAGGTTTGTTGAATTCTCGTCTCTCATCTTTTTGTTGTATTTACCTCCGTGATTTGTTCTTGACACCTGATGAAGATCGCTTGCGTTGTGATTGTTTTCTGTTTTAATATAATTTTATTGTATTTCTACATATGTGACTTTACCGAAAAAAACAATGAGTAATTTTATGCAGTCACGAAAGCTTTAATACTTTATTGTGTGACAGCGATTCAGGGTCACAGTGACCAGTGAGCACCAGGACTACAAGTCAGACTCGACCTACCTTGTGACTGTGATCCAGAGACCCAGGGTGACAGCGAAACGCGGAGTAACAGTGAAGTGGTGACTTCAGCTAGAGGCTAACCGATTGCCCAATGCTACACCAACGGAAATTGCAATCCTTTCGCCTTTGTCCCAACGCGTCCACCCCCACTCGCCGACCCCACTAGCCAAACCCTTGCCCGCCCCCTCCCCCAGACTCTCCGGAGTAAGGCCACCAGCCAAACTCCAGAAGCCCGACGTGAGAACAGCGGCATTTACTGGGGGGGGAGGGGGGGGAACAAGTTTTTACCAAGGTACAAAACCTATTTTTTCCATTGCAATGTCATCGTCCTCAGTTATTATACACATTTAGCCATACGTGGCAAAGCTGGCGCGCCAACGGAAGAACAAAGAGAACTAATCCACCACCTTGCAGATTGCCTCTCAGGTTTTAGGGGGGCTGGTGGCCGACACCCCTGTATAGCAACGAGCGATGCAATCATTCAGCCAGAGGCTGGCTTTTCCCCAAACGAAGGAGAGGGGACAGTTAGAGGCAAAGAAAGAGACCAAGGGATAGGGTTGATGGTAAGGAGAATCCGATGACTGAGGAGGACCTTCTGGAAGGTTGCAGAAGGGATGGGGAGAAGGATATAAAATGGGCGGGGCAATGTGGGAAAATGGCTGAGTTGACAAGAGAGCTTGCTTTGAGTCTGTGTGTTGTGTTGCTGGAACAGTAAACTTCCTTGACCATTTTACCTGTAGAGTGACATTCATTTTTTGCCACTTACGCGGATGGCGAGCTTTCAAATACCATGAAGAAAATAGCTAACTCCCCAAATTGCAATTGGGCTGTACCGTACACTTTGTTAGCAGTAAAGTACGGATTGGGGAAGGGTGATTTTTCTCATTTCACAGCCGTCAGTTTCTGAAGTATAGTTATTGAGAATGTCGACGTGTATGCAACTTGGTTCAAAGCAAACGGGTAACTGAAATGGAACTTACAAGTCTTAGCAGTACCCATGACAAGTGTGAAGCCATTCACGATTCCCTAGACTTCTCAAGAGATGAAGTGTTGACATCTCTTTTGGGATTAATGTTTCGTAGTCATCACCCGTTCCAAAAATTATTTAGAGAATAAATGAAATGTGAAGCGACGATGCAAAACACGCACCGTTTTGTGACATATAAATATTTTGTAATTGTATTAAACCCTCTCTTCTTTGTGCTTGTGTTAGGGGAATTGCACCTGCTAATGCACTATTCTGGATTCTGCCGTAGAGTAATAGTTATCACACTGGACTTGCAATCCAGGGGTCTCCAATTATATTCCATCTCCAGGCGCGGCAATTGAAATCAACGGTGCACATTTATTAACCGCCTCTGCGCACCCAACAGTATACATGGCTACATCCGCAGTAAGTAGATTGGCAGATCCGCATGTGGTGGGATTTAAAGTGTGAATGTTGTCACCTCTGCTGAAGACGTATCGCCAGCGGTGAATGCCTTGAAGATTAAGAGGGAGCTCCCTCTAGCGGAGGCTCTTCCGCCCAAAGTGGCTCGAGGACGCAATGACAGCGCTGCTCCTTTACCCAACTAATATTGCACATACTCTTTGGTTCTATTGGGTAAAGTCACGTAGGTAACAAATAAAATAACAAAAATCACGACGTTTCGGCCACAACACAAGCGGCCTTCATCAGGTGAAGGGATCAGGCTGTCTCGAGGACAGCACTGGAGTGAAACACAGCCACGCTCAGACCGCGGACCTTTAAGCTGTGTGCGAGGAAACAAGGTGTCCTGACAAAGGAATTTACCTATTGATGGTGTGAAAAGGGAATTTATAAGAGCTGCGAAAGTTTGGGGTACCACTACTTGAAAAATATACTGTACCATTGAAATTAGTTTAATGTTTAGTTCGATTTAGAGCATCTTTCCAATGGTTGCTTAATTTGAAACCATCTTCTCGGTTGAAATTGTCTGATAAAAACCCGTGGGTTTGCAGAGAACCTTGGTATCGGAGAAAATTATATCGTGATCACCCACAGCGTTGTAACAGTGATCAGCCACGGCAGAAGAATTCGTTTTGCCGTGTTTCAAATCTGATTTGTGCTCGCGAATAGAATTAATATTGCACACCCCATTGCTGCCTGGTCACGTGTTCCATTGCTGCCTGGTCACGTGTGCCATTGCTGCCCGGTCACGTGTGCCATTGCTGCCTGGACACGTGTGCCATTGCTGCCTGGTCACGTGTTCCATTGCTGCCTGGTCACGTGTTCCATTGCTGCCTGGTCACGTGTACAATGAACGCCACCGTGCCAATTAGACAAAGTACCAAACAGCGGCGCTGGTCATGGATTGTGCGCCAAAACGTCAGTAGGTCATCCCATCAGCCCACGCCCGGCACACTTTATTTCCGTTGTACTCTAGGCACGGAGCCATTTCTTATTTCTTGTTGTTGTTTCATCTTATTAAGGCCGTTGCAGCATTCGGCAAACTTTTATTTTCTCCAAAGAAAATGTTTTAACCAGTTTTCTGCACAACAACGAGCTCATGGTTAAAAATAGAACGCGGTGATGCAACTGCTGAGATATTGCTTGTGTCCTGTAAAAGCGTGACAATATTGATCGTCCAAGCAGTATAAGTGCTTTGTTCTTGTCGCCTGCGAGCAATATAGAATTTTGTTTGAAGGCTTTTTTGCACATTTATAGATGAGAACAGTTGTACCATATCCAATGTTCTTTGCCGGTTTTATTCTCCATAATTATTCCCCAATTATGAGAATAGGGTTTCCCATATTTTTTCTGGCAACAAGACAGGTGTTAAGATGTTAAAACACCAAACTGAAATCTTTTACAAGGAATCATGTCTGCATTAACCACAATACTTGTGGTCAGAATGTAAACAAAAAACATACTCTGATAATATATGATTTTTTTTCGATTTAAAGCTTTCGTGACTGCAGGGATTCATCTTCTTGGTTCTTTTGGTAAAGTCACTTAGAAGGGAAATAATAAAATAATAAAAATTTAATATATGCATTGTCTTTGAAACTGATTGGTTCACACCAGAGACAGCTTCCTTTTGAGTCTAGTCTCAAAACGTTATCAGACCAGAGGACGCCAAAAGTTTCCATCACGTGTGAATGTTTTGTGCTCCTGTTGATTTCGTTCTTTGTATTGTCGCGCAACTTTAAATAGTCCAATTTGGCAATCTGTTAATATATAGAGTGATCCGTTTATAGCTACCCAACCGATGTGAAACGACCCTGGTCTTGTGTGGTACGTGATTTTTTCATGAGGCATTCGTTAGTTGCATCGGCCGAGGTGGAACATCCTCCTCGCCCCCACGTTCTTCGCCAAACATAACCAAGGCCACGTATCTCGGCCTCGCTCTGTGTTGTGTTGCAGAGCTAGCTGAGTAGATAACCTCGCGTTTCCAATAAACCCTCAGAGCCAGGGTGAACATCTGCCTCCGAACGTCATTTATTGAAATTGAACGGTAGAGAGAGAGGTAAAAAGACAATGCTTCCCAAAGTCCCACAACGGTTGCTGCAGCTGTCTTCACGGAGCTGCGATGTGTGCCGCCATCTTGAATTCTGTTTTTTAATGGCCGACGCCCGCGTGGTTCAGCGGAAATCTAAAATCGCAACTTCCTGGTCACGTGACCACCCCCTATTTCAAAAACAGGAAATTCCTGTGTACACACGCCCCACATCTGCCGTGAGGCAAGACACTTGCCGTGAGGCAGAACACTCCCCGTCTGGTATCTAGGAGATACCACCATTTATTTCCTATCTCATAAACAAGTGTATAACAACTTCAACGGGTCAACTTATTTGTCCATATCTTTGCGAGAGAGAAGTAGTACTGTCTCGACTATGGGCCTGAAGAAAGTTCTTGCGACACCTTGCTTCGCAATCATAACCTCGACTTTTCAAACTTTTCCATCAGCACTTGGAATCGACTTGAGGATGCGGCCCATTGGCCACTCATTCCGTTTGGCTTGGTTGTCCTTCAGTAGGACGAGGTCGCCTTCTTGGATGTCTGGTCTGTTAGACTGCCACTTGTTGCGCACTTGGAGTGTCGCAAGGGACTCATTTTTCCAGCGATGCCAGAACGTGTTTGCGAAGCTCTGCACTTGTCTCCATTGACGTCTGTAGAGGTCTGCAGTGCTGGCCTCCTCGGTAGGTGCTGTGAGCACGTCTATCTTCTGGGTAAGAAGTGTAGCAGGAGTCAAGATGAATGGTGACTCCGGGTCAGTTGAGACGGGGATCAGGGGTCTTGAATTAATTATTGCTGAGACCTCGGCCATGAGAGTGGTCAAGACCTCGTGAGAGAGCTGTGTGGACCCGACATCACACAGCATGGAGTCGAGAATGCGTCGAGCAACCCCGATCATGCGTTCCCAGGCTCCACCCATATGCCAAGAGTGAGGAGGATTGAAGATCCATATGCAGCCTTGGTCACTAAGGTATTTCCTGACAGAATCATCTTCGACATTCTCTGTACTGATCTTAAGCTCTTTACATGCTCCAGTGAAATTGGTTCCACAATCAGAACGGAGTTGCTTGGCTGGCCCTCTGATGGCGAAGAATCTCCGGAGTGCATTTATAAAGCTCGAAGAGTCGATGGACTCGATGACTTCGATGTGCACTGCTCGTGTACTCATGCAGGTGAACAGCACTGCCCAACGTTTGCTGTTCGCGAGCCCTCCTCTGGTGCGGCGGGAGATGACTGTCCATGGTCCGAACACGTCGATCCCTACAGAGGTGAAGGGAGGTTCTACACTGAGTCGATCGGCTGGGAGGTCTGCCATTTTCTGTTCTTCCTGTTTTCCACGTAGCTTGCAACACCTGATACACTTGTGGATTATGCTGGCGACGCACCTCTTTGCTCCAACGATCCACAGCCCTGGAGATCGGATTGCTCCTTCTGTGAAGTGCCGACCTTGGTGCTTGACCTTCTCGTGAGAGTGGCGCACAAGTCAAATTGCAATGTGGCTCTGACTTGGGATTATGAGGGGGTTCCATTCGTTCTCATCTAATTTTGCATTCCCTAGCCGACCACCGATCCTGAGCAAGCCGTCTTCGTCCATCCTAGGGTTTAGCTTCCTGAGGGTGCTGACCCTAGGAAGGTCTTCTCCCTTGTTGATGGATCTGATCTCACTTGCATAAGCTGCCTGTTGCACACAGCGGAAGATTGATTTCCTTGCTCTGGAAAGCTCATCTTCAGTGCGTGGCACTGTGCAGTGATGCCATCCATTGCAGCTACCAGTGGTGCCTCTCATCGGGCGATGGAAGCAGTCTGCGTTATGCGTTAGACGTGCTATCGCTCGCACGACCGTCGTCCATTTCGAGAAATGTTCAAAATGGTGTGGACTCAGTGGACTTCTCGGTCGTACATCTGTTACGAAAGTTGTCACTTGAGGACGAATCTCCTTGTCGGACTCGGGCTCTATGAGTCCAAAGGTCTCTTTCGTGTACATGGGCCACCGTCACGTCGTAAGAGGAACGCTGGACCCGTCAGCCAGATGGTTTGCTTCAGCAGAGATGCAGGGACGGACCTAGTTGCGAGATCTGCTGGATTCTGGTCAGTTGGAACATAATTCCATTGCTCCGGCTGCGTCGATCTCCTGATGCGTTCCACTCTATTGCTGATGTAGGTGTAGAACCTTCTGGTTTGGTTGTTAATGTAGCCTAGTACGACCTTACTGTCCGTGTGGAACTTGACTGCGTCCAGTTTGACGTCCAATTCGTCTAAGATCAGTTCCGCCACTTCCGTAGCTAGAACGGCTCCACACAGCTCGAGCCTTGGGATGGTATGTTTCGGTTGTGGGGCCAATTTGGCCTTGCCCAATATGAACCCAACATGCTGGATCCCTTCTGCACTTGTGGTCTTTAGGTAAGCTACGGCTGCTACGGCCATCATAGAAGCATCTGCAAACACATGTAACTCCTTCCGTTGGGTTACGGAAAGGGATGTGGGAGTGTAGGAACGTGGAATCTGCAGCTGCTCAAGTGCCTGTAAGGAATTTCTCCAAGTTTCCCATTCTTGTCGCCGTTCCTCCGGCAACGGGCTATCCCAGTCTTGTGTATCAGCACAAAGGTCTCTGAGTATCCAACGGCCTTGAATGGTGACCGGTGCTACAAATCCTAGTGGATCGTACAGACTGTTTACCATCGACAAGATGCCATGTCGCGTGTAAGGTTTCTCTCCAATTGATACTCGGAATGTGAACGTATCCACTTTCAGGTCCCAACTCAGTCCGAGGCTGCGTTGGATTGGTGGTGTGTCAACGTTAAGGTCCAAGTCTTTCAAGTCTTTTGAACGATCGTCTGAAGGGAGCGCTTTTATTACTTCTGCGCTGCTGGATGCTATCTTGTGAAGTCTCAGGTTAGCAGTTGCTAACATTCCTTGCGTTCTTTGGAGCAGATCGATGGCTTCTGAGGCCGTGGGCATTGATTTAAGTGCGTCGTCAACGTAGAAATCTCGCTCTACAAATCGCTTGGCGTCTTCCCCAAACTCCCCTTCTCCTGCCTGCGCGGTCCTCCTAAGTCCATAGGTGGCTACCGCTGGGGATGGGCTGTTGCCGAAGACATGCACCTTCATTCTGTATTCAACAATTCGATCATCGACATTGTTATTGCGGTACCACAGAAACCTGAGGTAATTTCTGTCATCTTCTCGGACAATGAAGCAGTGGAACATTTGTTGAATGGCGGCTGTTACAGCGATTGACTCCTTTCTGAAACGGGTGAGTAACCCTAGGAGACTGTTGGTCAAGTCTGGTCCGGTGAGCATTCCGTTGTTCAAGGAAATGCCCTTAAATTGAGCACTGGAATCGAACACCACTCTGATCTGATCCGGCTTCTTTGGGTGTTACACGCCAAAGATTGGTAAGTACCAGCATTCCTGTCCTTCTTCTAGAGGAGGGGCCGCTTCAGCGTGACCACTGTCAAATATGTTTTTCATGAAGGACACAAAATGATTCTTCATCTCTGGTCTCTTGTCCAAGGTGCGGCGCAATGAGTTGAGCCGTGAGAGGGCTTGCTCTCTATTGTTGGGTAGCCGGCATCTGGGATTACGAAATGGCAGAGGGGCAACCCAACTGTTTGACTCATCTTGGAAGAACTCTCTGTCCATTATTTTCAAGAATTCTTTATCCTCTAGCGATGGAGCAGGTTTGTCGTCGTCCTTCGTTGTCACGAACACCGTATGTCCAACATCATCTTTCAGCATAGAGGTTTCTTTGTCGGCCTGCATGGTACAGCCTTGACTTCTATCGTCGAATTTATCTTTCAGCGTGAAGTGGTTGGGGCACGGTTTGAAGAGCGACGTGCGTCCATTCGTGAGCACACTCGTTCTGAATGTGCTTATGTGGTCTGGTTTGTGTGTTCCATCCAGACAGACATCACCTACAATGACCCATCCTAGGTCGAATCTCTGGGCGTAGGGAGCGTCGTGAGGTCCGTTTCGTTGATCACGAACCTTGTGGACTCTCAGCATGTCCCTGCCAAGCAGAAGTAAAATCTGTGCCGCGTGATCCAATGGCGGGATGAACTCTGCTATGGGTTTCAGGTGTGGGTGGTGACGTGCGACTTCGGGCGTGGGAATCTCACTCCTGTCGTCCGGTATCTCATTGCACTCTGTCACCGTAGGAAGGGCTAGCTTCATGGTGCTATCCATGGTTTCCACCATGAGGCCGCTCGCTCTTCTTCCCGCTGTCTCCATCAGTCCTGAGCATGTTCTGAGCGTGTATGGAAAGGAATTCCCACCTACGCTTAGCTGATCAAAGAACTCTGACCTTGCCAAAGACTTGTTGCTCTGGTTGTCCATTATGGCGTACATCCTTACTGCCCTTTCAGGATATCCTTTGGGATACACTCGGACGAGGCATATCCTTGAGCAAGATCTTCCTTTGAAGCCTTCTCCACAGACTTCTGTGCATTTGGTTGTGATTGACGAAGTGAGTGCGGCGGTATCGCCTTGCTCCCTGCCGTGCTCTGCTTCGGGATCGGAAGCCTTAGTGCCACTGGGTTTGTAGTAAAATGTGTGCAAAACAGTTGCGTGTTTGTCACTGCCACATTCCTCGCACTTGATATCTGCCTTGCAATTCCTTGCAAGGTGGTTTGTAGAAGCACAGCATTTGAAGCACACTCCAAATTATTTCAGAATGTTCTTCCGCTCTTCCAATGGCTTCCTCCTGAACTCACAGCATTTCTGGAGGGAGTGAGGTTCATCATGCAATGGGCATTGCTTCTCTGGATCCTCTATCTTTTTCTTTCTGGTGGTTGTCTGGACGGAGTTTGCGAATGTCGTAGGAGAGACCTCAGTCTTGTGTACAGAAATTGGCACTCTCGCTGTTCCTCGTTTCGCCATTGCTCTTTCCATTTTTGGGAGATCTGGACTGGAAATCCTCGTGGTGCCAAACATGAAACTCGGGTCATTTCTGGTCTTAGCCAGGTTGCGGATAAACTTTGAGAAAAAAGAGAATGGAGGGAATGCAACCTGATGCCCTGACTTGTATCTTGAACCTGCTGTTCTCCATTTTTCCTGCACATCGAATGGCAATTTCTCTACTATGGGGTTCACGCCATGGTAGGTATTCAAGAAAATGAGACCTGGTAAATAGGGGTCAGCCTGGGCTGATTCAAGCTCCATCAAAATATCTCCAAGCTCTCGTAACCTTTTATTGTCCCTACCAGAGATTTTTGGAAAGTTCTGCAACTTCTTGAAGAGAGCCTTCTCAATAGTTTCTGGGCTACCGTAGCACTCCTCGAGCCTCTCCCACACCGCATGCAGGCTTGAGGCAGGGTGGTCAATGTTTGCTGCCCGGATCCTCTTTGCGTACTCTGTAGATTCGTTTCCTAACCATTTCACCAACAGGTCGAGTTCTTCACTTGCAGAGATGTCTGCATTTCGGATTGCATTCCTGAAGGTAGATCTCCAGGCTCGATAGTTCTCAGAGTGGTCATCAAACTTAACGAGTCCTGTGTTGATTAGTTCGCGGTGAGCCAGGTACCTAGCAAAGTCCCCTAATCCTGCTGATCCAGGGTGTGTCCATACTGGCGCTTGTGAGGTGCCATTATTGGCTGCATTGCCTTGCATGCCGTCATTCGCGATGGTGTTGGATTGTGGGCCCAAAAGGTTTCGATCACGTTGGTTTGATCCCCTTGTGACTGTCTGGAATGTGGGTCTGACGTGATGCATCCATTTCTGATCCCACATGTGCGACGCTGAGTCGACGACTAGCTGCCAGGGCAGGATATGCATTTCCACCATTCCCGTAGACAGCATTCGTGTTCATTCGGTGTGGAGATGGCGATGCCTGAACGTCCACCATTTGTTCAGTATCGTTTGGTGGAGGAGTATTGATGCATTGTTCAGACCAGTCCAAAATATTTTTTCTGGTGAGTTGATCACGGTCCTTGACAGGTATCTGAGTGCCAAACTCACTCCAATTCTCTTCCTTATCCAGATTGGCTGCTGCTTGGAGCACCTCTGCTTGGGCCCTTGCAGCAGCTGCTTCTTTTTTGAGCTGTAGGGTACTTAACTTAGTATCCAGCTCAATTTTCTTCCGTGTGGCAGTAGCCACTAATATACTCTCTTGCTCTCGTGCGGCAGCAGTTGCTAATATACTTTCTTGCTCTGCGTGCTCTGCTTTCCTCCGTGCGGCAGCAGTTGCTATGCTTGCTTCTTCTTGTATGCGGGCCTTTTCAATTAGCATGGCTTCCTCTTCAGCCATGTAGGCAATACGGGCATTTGCTGCTTCTGCTGCTGCGCGTGCCTGAGCTGCTGCCATACTATTAGATGATGTCTTTGAGTGTGCTGAGCCTTTAGATCTTGTGGTGGACCTGGATGAGACAGAGTGCTGAGATCGGGTCTCTCTTAAGCCGTTGCAGGTCTATTGCATCTTGTATCACTGCCTGTACATTATCATCGAGCAGTTCGAGGAAGTTCTCTTGCGTGCGCACTCCCTCAAGGCCCTCATCTGTTTTCATCTTCATCAGGAGGGAGATGTATTTATTTGCCAAGAGCTTGTAGCTTGAGCTGCTCACCTTCACTCGCTGGATGGCCCGCTGAATTGAGGCCACTGTGTCTGAGGCATTTGCAGCTTCAGATATATCAGCTTCAACCCGGTCCTATGCCCTTTGAATCCTGGCATCAAGGTCTTGCTTCTCAGCATCATAGCTTTCCAAGGCCCGTTGTGTCAGCCTGACCTCTCTTTGGGGCCTTGAACTTCCCTGGTCCTCTTGTGGCTGGATGGGAGGTCCTGGATTGCCTAAATCACCTTCTTCAGCATCTCTCCACTGCTGAACTGTGGCTTTCCATGCTGAGATGCTTGCAACACAATTTTTAATGTAGACTCGTTGCGGAGCTCCTTTCTTGCTGCAGGCTGACTGCTTGAGAGCTCTTTTGCTTGCTGCAGGCTGACTGCTTGAGATCTCCAAGAAGAATGTATTTTTACTATCTCGGCCTCGCTCTGCGTTGCGTTGCAGAGCTAGCTGAGTAGATAACCTCGCGTTTCCAATAAACCCTCAGAGCCAGGGTGAACATCTGCCTCCGAACGTCATTTATTGAAATTGAACGGTAGAGAGAGAGGTAAAAAGACAATGCTTCCCAAAGTCCCACAACGGTTGCTGCAGCTGTCTTCACGGAGCTGCGATGTGTGCCGCCATCTTGAATTATGTTTTTTAATGGCCGACGCCCGCGTGGTTCAGCGGAAATCTAAAATCGCAACTTCCTGGTCACGTGACCACCCCCTATTTCAAAAACAGGAAATTCCTGTGTACACACGCCCCACATCCGCCGTGAGGCAAGACACTTGCCGTGTGGCAGAACACCACGTGTGTAGGTCCGTAACAAAACCTTGAGATATCAGACCTCAGCGTATGCATCATCATTGAATGCTGTAAGCAAATAACACCAACTGCATTGAACAAAGCGTATGTAAAGTGTTAAACGATGTAATACGTGAGATTGAAATAACATGTAGAGACTGAAATAAAATGTTTTCTTGATATTTTCTCCACTTTATGTTAGTGGCATGTCTATACATGAAGGGGAGCTGGCCACTCTGTAATGGTTTGAAAACTGCACCTGCAATGCAGAGCTTGCCGGCAGTTTAAACGAAAATACAGGTTTCCTAATTCGCACCACCGAAGTCCCACCCAGCAGTGTAAATGAGTGCACCGTAGTTGAAAAGTTGGCCAAAACTACCCTCCAGAGGGATTCTCTTGGAGGACCCTCTGTCAGCAGTGGTGTGGACAAGTAATTGCAAGGTTGCACCTTTACTTATAAATGGATCAGCCAAAAACACGGACTTGTTATAACGTTGGTCTCAAAAAAAAAATATTTTTACACAGCGGTCCACGATTCCTTGCCAATGAAACAACATGAACTTGAGAATCTAGACCTTCAAAACCTCCCTATTATGAAGATCACACGTAACTTGTTGCAGACGGTAAGTGTGAATACAAATGTAATGGTTCTCTTCTCTTGTGCTGTCGCCATGGTGAAATTTTGACTTAAAACGTTCGTGACTGCAGGAATTGATATTCTTTGGTTATTTCGGTAAAGTCACGTAGATAGAAAATGTAATAAATAATAATAATAATAAAAAAAGTCAATCAAAATATCACGACGTTTCGATCGCAACACAAACGGTCGTCATCAGGGAAGAGGGACCGCTTGCGTTGCGATCAAAACGT